ATGAGCTAACATTGTTAGGGACATCATCAATGACCTAACAAACACAATCAACTCTTAATGCTAATAGATACAAGAAGATCTTCACCTGACTGCAGAGTTAATAGGTTATTTTAAAAGAATGGATTTTCATTTTATCTCTGGACTTTAAAATACACCTAACTTGTATTATCACATGTGGAGCCGCAGGAAGGAAACAGCCAGGATGCGGGTTTAAATTACAAGCTTACAAGAGGTGAGGCTCACCAGAGGTGCCGGAGAGGCTGAACAACTCTCGCAGTGTCTATTTATTAGGGGATAACAGGTATAAAGAATGCTGAATAATGACAGACCACAGAAAGGAAACTACGGGCTTTCTCCACAACTCCTGCAATGACATACCATAAGATATTTAAGGTTTAAGCCCCGCTTACTATTGAGTAACTGATCTTATCTCATTCTGGAATACTGAGTTCCTTGGGGCTTGCCTCCAAGTTACAAGCTATCTCTAGGCTTGCCATGGGAATGTCTTACTCTCAGCATTTCTTCTAATGTGTTAAGAACCAGAGACTGTCCTTGTAAGCCTGATGTTCATTCCTCCACAATCACATAGGTGTATTACAGGTCAAATCCACCCCCTTGAAATAGAGGGCTTGAGGGAGATTGAAACTTCCTAACAACTCTCAACTTGGGCTGGATCACAGAGGGACTTTGGCAATGAGAGTCCAGGATCAGATGTGGGCAGGCCCAGAACTGTGGGACCTCGGGATCAGATGTGGGCAGGCACAGAACTGTGGGACCTCGGGGTCAGATGTGGGGAGGCCCAGAGCTGTGGGACCTCGGGGTCAGATGTGGGCAGGCCCGGAACTGTGGGACCTCTGGATCAGATGTGGGCAGGCCTAGAACTGTGGGACCTCGGGGTCAGATGTGGGCAGGCCCGGAACTGTGGGACCTCGGGATCAGATGTGGGCAGGCCTAGAACTGTGGGACCTCGGAGATCAGATGTGGGCAGGCTTGGAACTGTGGGACCTCGGGGTCAGATGTGGGCAGGCTTGGAACTGTGGGACCTCGGGATCAGATGTGGGCAGGCCCGGAACTGTGGGACCTTGGGGATCAGATGTGGGCAGGCCCAGAACTGTGGGACCTCGGAGATCAGATGTGGGCAGGCCCAGAACTGTGGGACCTCGGAGATCAGATGTGGGCAGGCCCAGAGCTGTGGGACCTTGGGATCAGATGTGGGCAGGCTTGGAACTGTGGGACCTCGGGGTCAGATGTGGGCAGGCCCGGAACTGTGGTACCTCTGGATCAGATGTGGGCAGGCCTAGAACAGTGGGACCTCGGGGATCAGATGTGGGCAGGCCCAGAGCTGTGGGACCTCGGGGATCCGATGTGGGCAGGCCCAGAGCTGTGGGACCTCGGGATCAGATGTGGGCAGGCCCAGAGCTGTGGGACCTCGGGATCAGATGTGGGCAGGCCCAGAGCTGTGGGACCTCGGGATCAGATGTGGGCAGGCCCGGAACTGTGGGACCTCGGGATCA